GTTCGTTCCTCCTGCCTGCCTCTTCTTCTTCCTCTTCTTCTTCTTCTCTTCTTCTTTCTTTTCTTCTTCCTCTTCTTCCTCTTCTTCTCATTTTCTTCCTCTTCTTCTCATTTTCTTCCTCTTCTTCTTCTTCTTCCTCTTCTTCTTCTTCCTCTTCTTCTTCTACTTCTTCCTCTTCTTCTCATTTTCTTCCTCTTCTTCTTCTTCTTCCTCTTCTTCTTCTTCCTCTTCTTCTTCTACTTCTTCCTCTTCTTCTCATTTTCTTCCTCTTCTTCTTCTTCCTCTTCTTCTTCTTCCTCTTCTTCTTCTTCCTCTTCTTCTTCTTCCTCTTCTTCTCATTTTCTTCCTCTTCTTCTCATTTTCTTCCTCTTCTTCTTCTTCTTCCTCTTCTTCTTCTTCCTCTTCTTCTTCTACTTCTTCCTCTTCTTCTCATTTTCTTCCTCTTCTCATTTTCTTCTTCTTCTTCTTCTTCTCTTCTTCTTCTTCCTCTTCTTCTTCTTCTTCCTCTTCTTCTTCTTCCTCTTCTTCCTTCTTCCTCTTCTTCTCTTCTTCTTCTCTTCTTCTTCTTCCTCTTCTTCTCTTCTTCTTCCTCTTCTTCTTCTTCCTCTTTCTTCTTCTTCCTCTTCTTCTTTCTTTTTCTTTTCTTCTTCTTCCTTCTTCCTCTTCTTCTGTCCTTCCTCTTCTTCTCATTTTCAGCTTCCTCTTCTTCTTCTCTTCTTCTTCTTCCTCTTCTTCTTCTACTTCTTCCTCTTCTTCTCTTCTTCTTCTTCCTCTTCTCATTTTCTTCCTCTTCTTCTTCTTCCTCTTCTTCTTACCTTCCTCTTGCCTTTCTTCCTCTTCTTCTTCTTCCTCTTCTTCTCTTCTTCTTCCTCTTCTTCTTCCTTCCTCTTCTTCTTCTTCCTCTACTTCTTCCTCTTCTTCTCTTCTTCTTCCTCTTCTCATTTTCTTCCTCTTCTTCTTCTTCCTCTTCTTCTTCTTCTCCTTCTTCTTCTTCCTCTTCTTCTTCTTCCTCTTCTTCTTCTTCCTCTTCCTCCTCTTCTTCTTCCTTCTTCTTCTTCCTCTTCTTCTTCCTTCCTCTGCTTCTTCCTCTTCCTACTTCTTCCTCTTCTTCCTACTACTGAGGTGTTTAATGTTTTTGTTGGTGTGTGTGTGTGTGTGTGTGTGTGTGTGTGTGTGTGTGTGTGTGTGTGTATGTGTGTGTGTGTGTGTGTGTGTGTGTGTTTGCTGATGAGGGGGGTAGCTATTTGAAGCAAATACTCCAAGTGTACACAGTTTGTTGAGTTAGGTGAGTGAGGTGGGTGACTGTGCTGGACCTAACATGTGGTGTAGGTGTGGTGGTGAGGTGTGTTCAGAACTAAACTTTGTAGAGAGTTAGGAGAGTCGTCAAGCCACAGCAACATGTCATACTCGTGTCTCACTCTAGTGTTGAACTTGTTGTGTCACTGACGTCATCTGGGTAATAGTGGAGATTTGTTCTGCACTGTATCATGGTGACGAGGTCTTTACGCTATCATGGAGGTCTTTAGGCTATTGTGGAGGTCTTTACGCTATTGTGGAGGTCTTTACGCTATTGTGGAGGTCTTTACGCTATTGTGGATGTCTTTACGCTATTGTGGAGGTCTTTACGCTATTGTGGAGGTCTTTACGCTATCATGGAGGTCTTTAGGCTATCATGGAGGTCTTTAGGCTATTGTGGAGGTCTTTACGCTATTATGGAGGTCTTTAGGCTATTGTGGAGGTCTTTACGCTATTGTGGAGGTCTTTACGCTATCATGGAGGTCTTTACGCTATCATGGAGGTCTTTAGGCTATTGTGGATGTCTTTACGCTATTGTGGATGTTTTTACGCTATTGTGGAGGTCTTTACGCTATCATGGTGACGGGGTCTTTACGCTATCATGGAGGTCTTTAGGCTATTGTGGAGGTCTTTACGCTATCATGGAGGTCTTTACGCTATCATGGAGGTCTTTACGCTATCATGGAGGTCTTTACGCTATCATGGAGGTCTTTACGCTATCATGGAGGTCTTTAAGCTATCATGGAGGTCTTTACGCTATCACTGGAGGTCTGTCTTTGTGTGTCATCGTCCCCGTATCGTGTTGAAGCAGTCTGTTATATCACCCTAAATATTATTACGACTCCAGCACCCGGCTTTGTTTTCACGACCATCACCACTATAACGACCTGCAGTAAAGGCTGGTTTCTTACTTGACGGCTACTGCTGCTACTACCCTGCCAACACTATCCTGTCAACTATACCCTGCCACCACTACCCTGCCACCACTACTTTACCATCACCACCACTACCACCACCATCCTACCACCACTACCCTGCCACCACTACTTTACCATCATCACCACCATCCTACCACCACTACCCTGCCACCGTTTCTTTGCCACCACCATCATCTTACCACCACTACCCTGCCACCACTACTTTACCAGCACCACCATTCTCCCACCACTACCCTGCCACCACTACTTTACCATCATCACCACCATCCTACCACCACTACCCTGCCACCACTACTTTACCATCATCACCACCATCCTACCACCACTACCCTGCCACCGATTCTTTGCCACCACCATCATCTTACCACCACTACACTGCCACCACTACTTTACCACCACCACCGTTTTACCACTACCCTGCCACCACCATTTTACCATCATCATCACCACCATCCTACCACCACTACCCTGCCACCACTACTTTACCATCATCACCAACATCCCACCACACCACTACCCTGCCACCGTTTCTTTGCCACCACCATCATCTTACTCACCACTACCCCCTGCCACCACATTCTTTACCAGCACCACCATTCTCCCACCACTTCACCCTGCCACCACTACTTTACCATCATCACCACCATCCACCAATATGCCACTCCTGCCACCACTACTTTACCATCATCACCACCATCCTACCACCACTACCCTGCCACCGTTTCTTTGCCACCACCATCATCTTACCACCACTACTCCCCACACCACTACTTTACCAGCACCACCATTCTCCCACCACTACCCTGCCACCACCACTTTACCATCATCACCACCATCGTACCACCACTACCCTGCCACCACTACTTTACCATCATCACCACCATCCTACCACCACTACCCTGCTCCCCGTTTCTTTGCCACCACCATCATCTTACCACCACTACACTGCCACCACTACTTTACCACCACCACTGTTTTACCACTACCCTGCCAGGTACGACAACTGCCCTGTTAGTACGACCACAGGCTGGCGATGATTGAACCTCTTTACTCTATTTTAATGAGGTTGATGATTGTTGTTAGCTAGATACTCTTTGTCTCTCTGTTTCTCTCTCTCCATAGTCAACACAAGGACACACAACAGACGAACACTATCCACACCAACCTACGCTTGTCCATATACAGGTAGATACTAGACCTTGAGTACCGAATATATCTTACGATAAGAACACCTTTTGTATTCAGCTGTTTATAATTGGAGTAGGGCAAATCTTGGGGGGGAGGTGTATGTTCTAGGGTGGTGCCCCGGTCTAGGTGGAGTACATGGCCCTTGGGGGTAGGGCCGTTTTAGGGCGTACATGACCCCTGGCGTGGGTATGGATCGGGCCTAAAGGTGTACAAGGGCTGAGTGGAGGAAATAAAAGTGTGCCAGGTCTGTATTACGACATATTTACTGACTGTATATCAAGAACACTGACTGTACATCAAGACTGACATCAAGAACAATGGCTGTACATCAAGAAGAACACTGGCTGTACATCAAGAACACTGACTGTTCATCAAGAACAATGGCTGTACATCAAGAAGAACACTGACTGTACATCAAGAAGAACACTGGCTGTACATCAAGAAGAACACTGACTGTACATCAAGAACACTGGCTGTACATAAAGAAGAACACTGACTGTACATCAAGAACACTGACTGTACATCAAGAAGAACACTGACCGTACATCAAGAACATTGGCTATACATCAAGAAGAACACTGGCTGTACATCAAAAAGAACACTGACTGTACATCAAGAACACTGACTGTACATCAAGAAGAACACTGACTGTACATCAAGAACACTGGCTGTACATCAAGAAGAACACTGACTGTACATCAAGAACATTGGCTATACATCAAGAACACTGGCTGTACATCAAGAAGAACACTGACTGTACATCAAGAACACTGACTGTACATCAAGAAGAACACTGACTGTACATCAAGAAGAACACTAACTGTACATCAAGAACACTGGCTGTACATCAAGAAGAACACTGGCTGTACATCAAGAATATTGGCTTTACATCAAGAACACTGACTGTACATCAAGAAGAACACTGGCTGTACATCAAGAAGAACACTGGCTGTACATCAAGAACACCGGCTGTACATCAAGAAGAACACTGACTGTACATCAAAGAAGAACACCCATTTTGTACATCCAGAAAAGAACTGGCTGTACGTCAAGAAGAACACTGACTGTGCATCCGAGAGAACACTGACTGTACATCAAGAACACTGGCTGTACATCAAGAACACTGACTGTACATCAAGAACACTGGCTGTACATCAAGAAGAACACTGACTGTACATCAAGAAGAACACTGACTGTACATCAAGAAGAACACTGACTGTACATCAAGAAGAACACTGGCTGTACATCAAGAAGAACACTGGCTGTACAACAAGAACACTGACTGTACATCAAGAACACTGGCTGTACATCAAGAAGAACACTGACTGTACATCAAGAAGAACACTGACTGTACATCAAGAAGAACACTGACTGTACATCAAGAAGAACACCGGCTGTACATCAAGAACACTGACTGTACATCAAAGACAACAAGGTGGGGGTGAAGGGTTACATTAGAGGGAGAGGAAGGTCAGTGGGCAGAAGTGATACGATTGTGAGGGCCGGCTGGGTCCTGTTGTTGCTTCATGCTGTTGCTTCCTGCTGTTGCTTCATGCTGTTGCTTCCTGTTGTTGCTTCCTATTGCTTACTGTTGTTGCTTCCTATTGTTTTCTTTTGTTGCTTCTTGCTGATGCTTCCTGCTGTTGCTTCCTGCTGTTGCTTCATGCTGTTGCTTCTTGCTGGTGCTTCCTGGTGTTGCTTCCTGTTGTTGCTTCCTGCTAATGCCTTCTGCTGTTGCTTCTTCTTGTTGCTTCCTGCTAATGCTTTCTGCTGTTGCTTCCTGATTTTGCTTACTATTGCTTCCTCTTGTTGCTTTCTCCTGTTGCTTCCTGTTGTTGCTTCCTGTTGTTGCTTCCTGTTGTTGCTTTCTGCTGTTGCTTCCTGTTGTTGCTTCCTGCTGTTGTTTACTGTTGTTGCTTCCTGCTGTTGTTTACTGTTGTTGCTTCCTGCTGTTGTTTACTGTTGTTGCTTCCTGCTGTTGTTTACTGTTGTTGCTTCCTGCTGTTGTTTACTGTTGTTGCTTCCTGCTGTTGTTTACTGTTGTTGCTTCCTGCTGTCACCTACTACCACCTTTTCCCACCTATTGAAACCTGTAAACTACTACTACCACCCACCACATACCACCTATTTTACCACCTGCCACCTACCACCATCTACTACCACCGATTATACCTACCACCACCACCTACTACCACCATCACCTGCCACCTATACCGCCATCTACCCAACTATACCCACCACCACCACCACCACCACCTACCACTATAACCTACTACCACCTACCCACTCCCACCACCTGACGTACACCTACCCACCACCACCACCTACCACCACCTACCCACCACCACCACCTGACACTACTATCACCTACCCACCACCACCTAACTCTACCACCTACCACCTACCTACCACCTACCTACCACCACCCACCACCACCTCCCACTGCCACTCACTGCCACCCGCCGTCACCGATCGAGGTCTTATCACTGAGGCGGAAACACCCAATTTTTTATAAACTCACAGTCCTTTTTTATTTAGTTTTTGTTTGTTTGTTAATTGGTTGTCTTATTTGTTTGTTTGTTTGTTGTTTTTGTTATTTGTTTGGTTGTTTGTTTTTCGGTTGTCTTGTTTGTTTGTTATTTAGTTGTTTTATTGGTATGTTTGTTGTTTTTTCTTTGTTTGTTATATGGTTGTCATATTTGTTTGTTTGTTATATGGTTGTTTTATTTGTTTGTTTGTCTTATTTGCTCGTTTATTTGTTTCTTTGTTATTTATTGTTCATATTAATTGGGTTTTTCTTATTTCCTTGTTTGTTTGTTGTGTTCTTATTTGTCTACTTGTTACTTGTTTCTTATTATATCAGTGTCAGTATAGCCAAAACAAAGTTGTCAACTCAGTGTTAAGCCAGTGTAGCCAACTCGGTGTTAAGCCAGTGTAGCCAACTCAGTGTTAAGCCAGTGTAGCCAACTCAGTGTTAAGCCAGTGTAGCCAACTCAGTGTTAAGCCAGTGTAGCCGACTCAGTGTTAAGCCAGTGTAGCCAACTCAGTGTTAAGCCAGTGTAGCCAACTCAGTGTTAAGCCAGTGTAGCCGACTCAGTGTTAAGCCAGTGTAGCCAACTCAGTGTTAATCAGTGTAACCAACTCAATGTTAGTCAGTGTAGTCAATGCAGTGTTAGTCAATTGTAGCCGAAATAGTGTAACCAACTCAGTGTTAGTCAGTGTAGCCAAAAGTGTCAGTGTAGCCAACAGGGCCAAGCCTCCCCCCTATAATTTGCCAACCAATTAAGTCATTTTTACCCACAGCAAATTCCATAAATTCAAACCGAGTAATTACTGTATGTCTGTTGAGTCCTGCCGGCCCTATACTTTACCCGATATATTTCTGACCCGATATTCTTCACACGATGTAGTATCTGCTCCGATTTAGCTCACCAGATATATTTCACAAGATATATATCTAATTCGATATAGTTCAACCGATATATTTCACCTTCATATATTTCTGACTTGATATAATTCAACTGATATATTTCTGACCTGATATATATCTCACAAGATATAAATCTGTCCCGATGTAGTTCACCCAATATATTTCTGACATGAAATAGTTCTAACCCGATATATTTTAAACTCGATTTAGTTAACCCGATATATTTCTGACTCGATATATTTTTGGCTCGATTTAGTTAACCCGATATATTTCTGACCTGATATATTTTTGACTCGATTTAGTTAACCCGATATATTTCTGACCCGATATATTTTTAGCTAAATTTAGTTCACCCAATCTTGGCCAATATTCATCAATCTTTACTAATCTTTACCAATATTCATCACTCTTTACTAATCTTTACTAATCTTTACCAATCTTTACCAATCTTTACCATCATTTGCATATCTCTGGGGACGAGAGCTGTACCTGTCACTCATCTCTTCAGGTTACTGTCTTCCCCTGGCCCTCACTTAACCATTAATATGCTATTTTATATTATATTCTAAGTTCTAACCTTCTCATTCTTGGTATGTTAAGGTTAGGTTAGGCTTGGTTAGGTTAGGTTAGGCTTGGTTAGGCTAGGTTAGGTTAGGTTAGGCTTGGTTAGGCTAGGTTAGGTTAGGTGAACTCTGGTAATATCACTTTAATCTCTCCGTATGTTGAGCCGCCAGCCACCTATATAAAACTATACACCACACTGATGGTCCTGATAATACTATAAATTCATTCACGCTCATGTTATTCCCATGGGAAATTTTACACCAGTTGGTGGTCAGAAAGTGCTAAACTAGTCATCATGACCATTAACCTTTTTCGTTCATCAATATGTGGACAGTTATGTCATTTATAGTGTAATAATAATAATAATAATAATAATAATAATAATAATAATAATAGCAACAATAATAATGATATTAACAATTATAATAACAGTAACAATAATAACAACAACAACAACAACAACAACAACAACAACAACAACAATAATAATAATAATAATAATAATAATGATAATAATAATAATAATAATAATTACAATAAAAACAACAATAATAAAAATAATAATAATAAACTAAACTAAATTGGAGAGACCACATACAAGCCATTAACAGTAAAGTCAATAAACAGTGCGGTATCCTGTATCACACTCGTCACTCACACCTTGCAGCAATGACAAAAATATATTATGACCTTGTTTACCAACACTTGATACACTGTCACGCACCACTGAGGGCCTCCGGCACCACTAAAACACAACCCCTGGTCACTGCCCAGAAGAGAGTCGTGGGAACAATTGGCCTACTTGAAAAAACGGATCACACAAACGAACAGTTTGCTAAATTTAAAAAGTTAAACAAAATTTATAAATCAGTTAATTAATTGATTGAGAATAACTATTTCCAGTTCCGTATCAACCCGAGGTACAACTTAGACACCCAGAGCTACTAAGACCACCCCCCATGCCCTCCTCCCAGTCCCAGACCTCCATAAAATATCACGGTGTGAAGGTGTGGAACAACTTACCCCCACCCATCCGAGCAAAGACTACGCTCCCTTCCTTTTCATCATCCTTTAAAAATATCTGTTGTGTAAGAATTAATATTTTTGTAACACTTACTTTATACTCTTATTTTCTTTGTACCACCGAAATCATTATATCATATATTGTCATGTAGATAGATAGAAATTACCATTGCAATAATTCTATACAGTATTTGCCGACAAGACATGATACTGGCAGCTCTGTCTTCTTGTTTCACCTTAATACTTCCCATGTTGTATTGTTCCCTCACTTATCAGATTAATGTATATCATCTCCACTGTAAAATAGTTATGTACTTATAATATAAGTGTAAAAAAATATATATATATTAATAAAAAAGTGATAACCGGTAACAGTCAGATATGGTCTTACTAACAACATGTTAATTAACTTAATTGTACTATTCCAGAGTCTCAACTGGCTCAGCCATGTCAATATTGTTATTATTCTCCGCTCTGTATCTGTATTTTTCTGGCTAACTAAACTGTTTCAATATCATTAATAATAATGATAATAATAATAATAATATAACAATAATGATGATGATGATGATGATGATGATGATGATGATGATGATGATGATGATGATGATGATGATAATACCAATACAGAGATTCACCATAAATTAAAGAACTCCATCTATAATAAAACAAAACAATATTATGGCCAAACACATTACATAGTTTTAGTATACTTGATGAACTGAGAAGAGAAAATAATATAGTTATTTTTCAAGTCTAATAAGACCATTGTGTTGTACCTAAAATATTCTTGAGGTTATTAGGTTATGAAGTGGGTTACAGATAATGTATGGACACTGGGTCACTATCTCGTTTTCTTATTGGTCCACGTACGTAAACAAGTCACTCCACACAATGTTACTGAACGACGTGTGTGTGTGTGTGTGTGTGTGTGTGTGTATGTGTGTGTGTGTGTGTGCACACAAGGTGGTGTAATGCGTCTAGTGTGGCATCATTATGTTAATGTTAAGGTGCAGGCACTGCTTGCTTCCTCTTGCTATCAGCTACCGCAGCTGAGTAGCCCTCGTGGCGAACAGGGAAGCAACTTGCATAAGTCCTCCCCTGACAGTACACAGCCTCTTCACCATCAAGACTCCCGCTGTGCCTCTTCGTAGCAAAACACGGTAACTGGGTGCTGTGACACCTGTTTTGGTTCCAAACCAATTGTTTTAATTAAGTTCTGGAACTCCTAAGTGGCAGGGTTTGATGTAAACACTTCCTGGCGTGTTCTGTTTATTATCGAAGCAGGTATATACACAGGTACAATCTGAGAGAATATATTGTGAGTCACTCCAGGGAGGTGTTGTGAATAACACTTTGAGATAACACTTGAGTTAAGTGCCTAGCTTCCCTGTCCAATGGTAGTAAGTGAAATGTCTTCTCTGGGCGTGAGAGAGCGAGCCGGTCGTTTGCTAAATCAGCTGACCTTTGAGGCAACTCCACGATGGCATGAACGGCAGTGTCCTGAACAACGGCATCCAGTCTAAGTTCTTCCCATTCAAACGGGGTTTAAACAAGGATGTGTACTGGCACCAACTCTTTTTTCCATTTTCTTGACTGCCTTCCTTACTCATGCCAGTGCCAATTTAGCCAACGGGTGGACATCGAGCACCGCGTGAAGGGTCTTTACAACATAAGACGACTCGAGGCAGGAACAAAGGTGCCCGCAGCTTCCATTACTGAGCTTCAGTATGCAGACGACCTCACCCTTGTCGCTCACACTGAACGCGACCTACAGGAGATCCTGAATACCTACGCAGATGCGCATACACAATTCGGCCTTGAAGTAATTGTACGTAAGACTCAGATTCTCTTTCAGCCTGCCCCTGGTTCAGCCACACCTGCACCATCCATCCAGGTAACGGTACCACCCCTCTAATGTTACCCACTTTCGGTATCTTGGCTCCCACCTGTCCACCACTGCGGACATCGATGAAGAGATTCAACATCGGAGCAGATGTGCATCTCAAGCCTTTGGCAGACTCCGTACCCATGTCTGCAGCTGTAGGGAGCTGAAATTATCAACAAAGTTGCACATATATCGAGCAGTGGTCCTCCCCATCCTGCTATATGGCAGCGAGACATGGGTCACATACAGGAGGCACCTCAAGGCACTTGAAAAATTTCACCAACGTAGTCTACGTTCCATCCTTCGAGTTCGCTGGGAAGACGAGAACAAATGCCAGTATTCTCACTGACACCAACTGTAGGAGCATCGAGGCTACCATTATTCATGAACAACTATGCTGGACTGGCCATGTTACCCGCATGGACTACAGTAGACTGCCAAAGCAGCTACTTTACAGTCACCTAACGAATAGTAAACGTAACGCTAGCGGGCAACTGAAAAGGTATAAGGTTAGTCTTAAGATAAACCTGAAAAAGTGCCAAATCGACCCCCTCATCTGGGAGACGATTACTCCACATCGTAACGCTTGGAGGAGCACCACACGAGAAGGTGTCAATACTTTCGAGTTAGCACGACTGCATACCGAGGCAGACAAGCGCCAATACCGGAGACGTTGCCGCCGCTTCTCCCGCACTAGATGTAACCCTCCACACGTGCAACATCTGTGAACGGCACTGCCGGTCCCATATCGGCCTCTTTAGTCATACTCGATTCCGAGTGACAGCAAAAGTAGTAGTAGTACTGACCTACATAAAGACGTATACAAGTCACTCCACACGGTCTTACTGACCCATATAAACAAGTCACTCCACCCGGTCTTACTGGCCCATATAAACAAGTCACTCCACACGGTCTTACTGACCCATATAAACAAGTCACTCCACACGGTCTTACTGACCCATATAAACAAGTCACTCCACACGGTCTTACTGACCCATATAAACAAGTCACTCCACACGGTCTTACTGACCCATATAAACAACTCCACGGTTTTTACTGGCCCATATAAACAAGTCCTCCACGCGTCTTACTGGCCCATATAAAAGCAAGTCATTCCACACGGTCTTGCGAGCCCCATATAAACAAGTCACTCACACGGTCTTACTGACCCATAAATAAGTCACTCACACGGTGTACTGGCCCATATAAACAAGTCCTCCACACACGTCTTACTGGCCCATATAAACAAGTCATTCCCACACGGTCTTACTGACCCATAAACAGAATCACTCCACACGGTTTTAATGGCCCGCCTCAACTGAGTCTCACTCACACGGTTTTTACTGGCCCATATAAACAAGTCACTCCCACACGGTCTTACTTGTAAGTCATTCCACACGATGTACTGACCCATATAAACAAGTCACTCCACACACGGTCTTATGGCCCATATAAACAAGTCACTCACGGTCTTACTGGCCCATATAAACAAGTCACTCACACGGTCTTACTGACCCATAAAAACAAGTCCTCCACACGGTTTTAATGGCCCATATAAACAAATCCTCCACACGGTTTTACTGGCCCATATAAACAAGTCCTCCACGGTCTTACTGGCCCATATAAACAAGTCCTCCACACGGTCTTACTGGCCCATATAAAAGCAGTCCTCACACGGTTTTACTGGCCCATATAAACACGTCATTCCACACGGTTTTACTGACCCATATAAACAAGTCACTCCACACGGTCTTAATGACCCATATAAACAAGTCACTCCACACGGTTTTACTGACCCATATAAACAAGTCACTCCACACGGTCTTACTGACCCATATAAACAAGTCACTCCACACGGTTTTACTGGCCCATATAAACAAGTCATTCCACACGGTTTTACTGACCCATATAAACAAGTCACTCCACACGGTTTTACTGACCCATATAAACAAGTCACTCCACACGGTCTTACTGACCCATATAAACAAATCACCCCACACGGTCTTACTGGCCCATATAAACAAA